TTTTTTACATCAAATACTATTACCATACAGTACGGTAATCTTACCAGATTTTTTTTCCTTGTTGGATTGAATAAATTGCTATCCTTCTTATCCACTTACGACGAGAGTATATTAATAAATAACCGTATAGGGAATTATAATGTATATAAAAAAACGTGTTAGATAGGCGTTATCAATCACAAATCGACTTAAAAATGTGTCGGATCATTTGAATGAAATTCAGTGCTGAGGTGATGGATGAATTCGTGAGCTGTCACTTAGAAAATTATTGTGAATATTAAATAAGCATTGGATGTGCATCATCTATCTCAAATTGATTCAGGAAATCAACGAATGGATCAACGAATCAGAGTGAATCAACGAAAGAGTACCACATATGTAATTGTTGAGCCGCGATGGCTCAGGGGATAGAGCTTTCGGCTTCCAATGAGGCGAACCAGGTTCGAATCCCAGTCGATACGAATTCCGCATCCGGCTTGCACCGACCACAGTGCTGACGTGAAATATCCTCATTGGGAGACGGATCATGGGTTAGAGTCCCCTTGCCGTCAGGTTAACCGTGGGAGGTTCTCGTGTTCTTTATACAGTGATATGTTTTGTCTTTATTTTATTAAAATCCCCTGAAGATGTTTTTGTCTATATATTATCTTTAGTGAATTTCATTTTATTAGTCTTATATGGTTATGAATTCATTTAATTCTGAAATTCAAAATTCCTTTATGAAGTATTGTTATTCTTATTTTGACCTGTTTTATATTTTCTACAAATATTCTTTTTTGAATAAACGTTGCTATGTTATAATTTTTGTTAACCACTGAATATTTTTATTTTTTCCAGAGAAAGTAAGCACAATTCTAAACAATCTTTGAAAGTTCTGTTGAATATTTTGAGCCTTTTTTAGCGCCCTTATTCTCATTTATTTTTTAATTTATTTTTTATGCATGCAGTTCTAACTCACGTTTGGACCTATCAAATGCGCTCATGTACGCCTTCTATAGTTAAAAAAAATTATAATTACAATTTTTCGACTTTCCTGTAATATTCTACAGATTTTTTAACGCTACATATATAGTAAAATTATATAGTACTCATTTTTAGTTGTTTCTAATAATTAAAAAAATTATAAATTGCTAAGCATATTTGCATTTTAACTTAAAAATTGCTACGAATTTTTTGTCACGCAAAGTTTATGTAAAATTTTTTTAAATTACTAGAAGGCTCAATCCCCGTTCGCTTAGCTCACCTCCCGAAATTTGTGGTTGCGGGGTTTTCGCATTCATCATTGAAGATTGATGGAGAAGAAAGGTTTATGTCTATAATTGATAAAAATTAAGATTGGATACGAATCTGTTTCATTTTGAGGATGAATCAATTTTTTCAAATCAATAATGTAGAAATCAGTACCTCCACCTTCTCTAGAGTTGTTAGTAAATGAAGGTGGGCAGTGAGGTAGAAAAACGGTTCCTGTAGGTGCACAAGCTTTTTTTTCATTTTTTTTTCAGAATCAGCTTTAATGAACAAAAAGCGTTTTCCCTCCCGTCTCGTCTCAAAATTGTTTTTCTTATAAGTTGATAAAAAAGATAATTTTGGTTAGAAAATATATAATTATTATAATTGTATATAATTAACACATTATATTATATTATAATTAACACATTATATTATATTATAATTAACACATTTTATAAATATGTTAATCGTAACGAAAGGAATATATTAAATAAATTTTTAACGAAATAAGAAATTGCAATAACTTTCAAAAAATTGGAATTGGAATCCATAAACAAATATGGCCCTTTCAGCATGGCGAATTTTAGCCCTACAGTTGTATTCCGGTGGCCTGTAGAGCAGCCTGCTTGTTAATAGTTAATAATTCTCGAAATAACTATCAAATGTTCATTTTTACTTAATCTTAATATTTGTAAATTTTTTGACACACCTGAGCAAAGTCTTATGGTGTTTGCGCAGCAAGACAAAATGCAACATGAATGTGAACACCCAAAACAGCGGCAACAGCGGTTCTTGCGATTTTTCGATATAGCGAGAATAATTTATATTGAGAATATTTATAGCGAGATATATCAAATAGTTTATAGCGAGAATATTCATTTTGATATAGTGTTTTAATAATTTATTTACCGGTGAAAAAGACGAAGTAATAAAAAGGAGGAAAACAATTCCTATATAAGGTTATGTGATGTATAAAAAAGGATTTATCTTACCCCTTTTCAAACATAAGTTTCCTAGGTCAAAACCAAAAGATATATATTTTTTCTAATCAGCTATACACTTAATACGACTTTTTCCGGAGAACTAAATGACCGGATTTACTTTTCTTATAAATAAGTTCTTTTTATAAATATATTCCTCAATTTCTATTTCTTGTATAAATCTATTTTGTTTTATTGATTTATTCGATTCACCTATAATCCTAAGAAAAGATTTATTTCCAGCAGTACTTATTTGAAATAATAATGAATCGTATCGTATTAAGCTTTTAATTTAAACCTTTTTTTTAATAAAAGAATTATGGCATTAAATACGTTATTATCACCACCAAAAAAAATTAGTTCTCTGGAATATAATACACTGTTACTATTGAATGCACTCAATAAAAGCTCAACAAACATCCAATTACTCTGCAGTTCAGATTTATTAAATCGTGTATTAATGAGTATTATGACCTAAATTTGGCAGACTCATTATCATTAGAAGTGAAGTGGTTATTATCAGTTTAGCAAACTGATTATTATTAGAATTATTAAAACTGTTTATTATCCTTTAATATTCCCCCAGTGTCCTACAAAACAAACAAATCAAACCGGAAGTCTTGCAGTCCTCGTATGACGTCATAGCAGCTCAGATTAGTGTAAATCAATGCATTCCTATCATCAAGAGGAAGTTAAAAACGTCTCTTATTGTGCTGCCATCTGCTGATAATAAAAAAAACCTCCGTATGGTAGGAGATGAAGCTTGGATTAAATTTTAGTAATAAGAAGTATATTTAACGAATATTTAGGAACATTTTAACGCTGTATTTAGTGGCGTTAAGATATCTCTATACGAATTATATGATATTAAAATATCTCTTTCCGAATATTTTAGCGCCATATTTAATTTCCGTGAAATTTTTCAAAGCTTAAAAAATTGCACATTTTTGAATCAAAACCATTATTAAAATCAAAATGAGTATTGAAATCATATTTAATTTAAAAACAAAAATTGATAACGATTAATTACATCGCGTAAAAGCTCACTTATGAAACATTTTTAAAATAATCAATATCAAAACATCAATATTAAAAGCCTAAATAACATCCTTTTTACCTTTGATTATTAAAAGAGTTTGAAGATCCGCATTAATCACACCATTTAGTTCATGAGACAATATCAAGTTTTAAAGTAACATGGTAGAAATTGTTTATAATTAGGTACTTGCACTTCATGCAGAAGATCACAGATACCCACTCATGTGAACTACGACGTCAGCATCAGCTAAGCTAAATTTCTCCTCATAACTTAGAATATTAATTTACGATAAGTTAATTAAATATAGAGCCGTACGCACATCAAATTACTAAAATATAATACTTTTTTGACTATGCATTTTACTTAACTTAGATTTTTTATGTGTTTATATATTTTACCGTAAACGTGATATTTTTTTGTTTTGTGAACCTGGCAACTTCGATGTAGAATTAGTTTGTTTATGTTCTACATTGCTTCTCGCCTGTCTTTGCGTTAGGTAAGAAATATATAGTGAAAGAATTGAAACATTTGTGAAAGAATTATTGAGAAAGAATATAGAATGTGTCATTGAAGAGAATTGATACTTGACGGACTTGGTTTACTCGAAATAAAATGGAAAGAACAGTTGCCATAGCAAACAAAAGCCACGTCTCAACAACCAATCAAAGTCGAGATACCCACTCTACGTCACTTGCAGGTATCCCATTAATGTTTTTAGTGATGCAGTTTTGGTCTAATTTAATTCAGTGAAAAAAAATGCAAAGAATACATTACTGACATAGTTAAATGTCCTTCCCTTCTTTTCTACTCTTCCATTCAATAAATTTAATAACATCAAATAAGTGAACCTTGGTAGACTTACAAGATAAACCATAAAAATTGAAATTTATGATAACATCCATAAAAGCTCATTCCAGAAGAAACAACTAAACTTGATATATCCACTTTAGGTCTTAAGTTAAAGAATTTAATTAATTGCCATTTTCCTCTGATTTATTAAAATACTTTTATTGTTTCTGATTGGAATTGAAACGTTTTTCTGCTACAATTTTCATTGTTAATGAACACCTTTTTTTAAATTACTGTTTAGTAGTTGATCAGAGAGGTAAACAGATAGGTATTTTTTTCCTTTTTTTTATTTTCGTGAGCTGCTAATTTTTTTAATTCGAAAAAGCTTGAGTGAACAATTCTATTTAAAGGGAAAATTAATTAGTTTATGTCAAAAAAATAATTAATTTTTCCATTCCAAAAAAAAAAATTGCATGAAAGTTATGGAATAGAAAGTTTTAACTCTTTTTTCGTTGTTGATCCAAAACAAAATGGAAAAATTAAAGGGACAAACAAATATTTTTTTCCATTAAATTATATCTTATAGACAAATCTTTTATTAACAGAAATTAATTTGTATAAACTTTTTTATGGAAATTACCGAAGTTAATTAGGGTAGTAATTGAAAAGTAAATATATATATATTTAATTTTGGGACATAATAAACTTTTTCTTGATTTGTTAAAAAATATAGATAAATTATCCAAAGTGAAAATCAAATTATTAAAGTAAAAAGAAAAGCGGACAAGGAAGAAAAAAAAGTAATGATATAAACTTTCTTAAATTACTTTTGCTTAGAATTTTTTTTATTTGATAAACTGTCATCTGGAAAGATTTTAAAAAAAGCGTGAAAATTTGATATCTATATATACAATGTACCATACAAAATTAAAAAAAAAATATTTCAGTGCATGCATGCTTACCCCAACCAATCAAGGCGTACACATGAATCCTCACTGTTTCTGCAGAAAATGTCCTAACGACCAAAATGTAGAGATACAGACCTTCCACAAACATCCAAAAGAAGTTGGTCCCCATAAGATATGTGAGGAGAATGACCAGATAGCACGCAACCTAATCAAAAGAGATAAAACATTAATTAAAAAAATAAACCATGCTGACACAAACATTAATTAACTGCGGGACGAAAACTATAATTACAGCTTGGATAGAAAAATTTAAATTGATCACTGTCTTATGGGGGACTTGGTGCAATAAAAAAGTATATCCAACTTTATTTTAGTTTTATTGAATTTCTGGACAATTTAGCTGCTTATATTAGTGCAAAAACTGGGCACTGATCAGTTCTTTCTTGTGTGGTGAATAGTGTGGGGAAAAAATATGCAAATTTAAATTATATTTTGCTTTTCTTCTGCGATTTGGGAACCTGGTCGTACCTTGTTATTGTACAAGCCTTCATGAAGTAATTTCTAATTGTTGTTATGGAAAATATATTTAAGCAGTTAATTTACTGATTTTTTTTTCATTCAAAATTTAACTCGGTAAACAAACAATATTTAGGTTTTAAAATATATGTATTTCCGATGTACGTTATTTGTTTTTCAGAGGAATATAATGAGTATTTCTTTCTTTTTTTTCATGTTTTTTTTTGCAAAAATAACATGAGTATTTGAATTTTTAAGAATTTTTATTAGGTTTTGAAACGAATTGGTTTGGACACATTTCCATATAGAGACTCGGAATCCCAATGAAATTAATGTGATGCTTTTAAAAGTTAACTTTTTTTAAAATCTTTTCCCTCCCGGAAAACTTGCTGTATAATAACCGTTTTAATGGGAGGAAATGACTGTTTATAAGGGATTGCTCAAAAAATGTCTTTGTCAAGGTGCAGAATCAACGATCTCTGAAGCCTTTTTGCTTCTACCCAAAAGCTGAAGGTATTTTTTGAGATTTAATCCTTGGTATAATTTCTTATTTTGTTGATAAATTCCACATTGGAATGCCTGCAACTGCTTTTTAGAGAAATAAGGCACCTTTCCAGTTCAGTCTTGGCTTTGCTTGTAGAAGTAACAGTGCCTGTTATAATTTCAGATGCTCTATACTGAAAATGGTCAAGTTTAGCTACAACTCTTTCTGATGTAGACGCCCAGACAGGGAAAAATATTCTTGTACAGGCCTGATGATGTTTTTCTGTTATTAAGCCTCTAGTTAATGCCGAGATTCTCTGAAACCTTCTACTACCTTGCTAAAAGAACTAATTCAATCAGGTCGTGTTATTACAGAAAGGCGGTAACGCTATAAATTCATTTCCCAGCAAAATAGAGTAATTACTAATACAGATGGTTCTTCGGATAACAACTTTAATAGCAGGTATTCCGATTACCCACCCATCTGGAAAAAGAACAGAATTCAGAATTATCACAGGCCAAATAGCTTTGAATTTAATTATCGAACTGGTTGTAACCTAAAAAGCTCTTTTACTATTCCAAAATATAGATCCATCAGAAGGATTGGTATTCATTTCCGATTCAAAATCAGCACTGGAAATATAATGGAGAAACAAATTTAAGCCAAAGCATCAGCAATCCTCTGAATCCAAAAAAAAAACCCTGCACCCTCTAGTGGATTCTTGCCATGTGGACATTGAGAGAAATGACTGCAAAGACGTACTTGCTAAAGAAGCTTGAGACTCGATTCAACCCTATATCATCACCTTTGAAGACTTACGTGGTTAGCAAGCGCATTTTTTTTCATGCCAGCAAACTTTAAAAACCTTCCATTCCGATTCCTATCTGTCCCAGAAAATTCTGTTCTGTCCATAATTCCGTGCTGAACCCTTCGAGGATACGAAGATAGCTCAAAATAACATCACAAGATGCTTCACTATCTGGAGAGATTGTCCCCTAACCCAATTAACACCAGAACGCATTTTTAACTATCAGGCCATCCCAGCCCTGAGGCCATCCTAGCTTTATTTCTTCAACTTGGCTCTCCACCAGCGGACATAATATACACTTTTAATAACCATTGCCACTCTTAATAACCACATATTTATTACTATAAGATTACTAAGCATTCACCGTTGTGATATGTATCCGATGATGAAAAATAAAAAAATGAATTCATAGTCACACGTGGTTTAGCTTCCAGCATTCGAAGAACGCGTGCTCCATTTCATTGGCAGTGGGTCTAGTTGACACTGCTACAATTCTGATTTTTAATCTTGTTAGCAGAAAACGGTCAATAAGCAATTTTCCCCACAGTAATAGTTTGAATACCATCTTTTATATAGTTATCTGACTGTTTTTGTTGAATATAGTAAAATAACTAATAAATTAACTTATTCAACCATTTTTTCCGAGAAATTTCTTGCAGTGTACACTGTAGTTTGATTTCGGTAATACGTCTATAAGTCCATCCGATATTTAGTGTTTATTATTCATATAAAATGCCTGATTAAATAAAAATAATCATTAAAAAACACAATTCTTGCACAAAAACCCTTTTGCAATTTTGCATATATTTTTAGTTGAAACGGTGTGCATGTTGCAAACAGAAAACACTGTTTTATCAACAGTGAACAATTTATGAACTTTGTAATTAGTTTTTAAATTTTAGTGCATAATAAAATTTGGTTTCTGAAGCGAAACGCATCAAACCGCACATCATCGGTATTTAGAGATACCCGGTACATCAACGAACGTTATACCGTTTTAATATCTAAAAAGGTTTTTTTCTTACAATCTAATATTAGTATGATTTAAGAGAAAAATGAATATTTAAGGATGAGAGAATAGGTAGCAATAATTTACAGATAAAATCAAATTTTTGACAAAGCTATTTCTTTATAACCTTTCCTAATCTTTATTATCTAAATTTAAATTTCTTTTGCCCATAAGTAAGGGTAATATTTTTGTGATGAAAATTACGTTTTATCCGTATTCTTCAAAAAATTACTTATTATTAATCAATACATTCTCTTAGTGTTGTTTCAATTTTTCAAAGAACAACGGATAAAACCAAAATAAACTAATCCTATTAAAACATGTAACTATTCTTTCCTGATCTTAATTACACCACTTTCTTTTCTTCTTCAATTTATTTTTTGTTATTCAGTGTAATTTTTTTAATTCATGATTGATCTCTCCTCCTAATGAGGAATGTTGGCGACGATTTTTCCTCCTCAATTTTTTTTCTTGCAGTACTTTTTTTTCAGTTTAAGTTTCAATCATCGGACAAAAAACTTCTATTCATCTAGGGTTTAAGTATTTTCTTTGGTTCTTCAGACATAAAAAAATGCTTGTAGTGAGTTTTAAAGAATTCTCTAACAGGTATTGCAGCTAAGAATAGTATGCGTTCTTAGACTAATATTTTTACCTCTTGTCTGTAACAATATTCAAGGCAGAATATACGTTTTGATTACATTGTATAAATAGTTATTTTTTTCCGCATTTCATTTTATTCCAGTTGCCTCTTATTAATACTTGAGAAGTGTTATATTGAGTAATCAGAACAAAATAAATGGCAAAGACTTAATCACCCTTTTTGTATATGCGATCGTTCAGGACTTAGTGTTTCATTGCTATTGTAACAGCCTAATACATTTCAGTGCAAGAAAACGTCAATAGAAGATGACGCGGAATCGATTGAGTTTCTTTGCTATGAAAAACGATGAAAATGGAGCTGTTTCTCTAGTTCTTTTCAACTACTGTTACGGTTGTAAAGAAACCATTGATAGCAAAATATTACAAGGCTAAGGACTGTTGTTTCGTAATATATCTTTGCGACAGATATAGCTTTCTAGTGTAATATGTTTCATGAAACAGTTGTTCATACCCGTATCAAGATATCATTTTATTAGATAATGATCAGCTAACATTTCATGAATATTGCGTTTTCATGCCGAGTTTATCTCATTATATTCAGAGTCGTTGATTCGAGTTTATCTCATTATATTCAGAGTCGTTGATCCGAGTTTATCTTAATATATTCAGATTCGTTGATCCGAGTTTATCTCATTATATTCAAAGTCGTTGATTAGAGTTTATCTCATTATATTCAGAGTCATTGATCCGAGTTTATCTCATTATATTCAGAGTCGTTGATCCGAGTTTATCTCATTATATTCAGAGTCGTTGATTCGAGTTTATCTCATTATATTCAGAACCGTTGATTCGAGTTTATCTCATTATATTCAGAGTCGTTGATCCGAGTTTATCTTTTAGGACCATAATTTCTATGATATCGGAAATTAGTATATATCTACTATATATCCAATTTCTATTTTCAGTCTAATTTCTATTTTCAGTCAATTTTAATATGCTTTTTATAGAATAATCCCGTAGAATGATCGTATTATAATTTTTACTGTAGAGGTAGGTAATTTAGATGGTCTTTAAAGTTATCGATGTATGACTATGAATATTAGATAAAATATAAAAAATCATGTACTAATCATGAGGCAGATATGCTTTCAAGAAATAAAATTTCACGTCATAATTGCTATTGAACACATTTAATTCAAAATGATTGATTTCGCTTGTTTTTTTAACACGTTTTTAAAGTTAAACTATATTTTTCTGTTTTAATTATATTTGACAGATCAGAATTCAGTCAGAAAAGAACAGCTTACGCAATTTCAGAGTAAAATAGAATTTCAAACACACTTTTAATGTAAATCGATATTATGCTTTTCTTTAGAATAACATGTTTTTCCTCATTGAAAAGGGACTTATTGTTTTTTAAATTTAAGTGATTTTACACCGAGCTTAATAAAGCTTTGCCGAGAGAGATTGAAAAACAATTATTTATCTTATACAAAGGTAAAATATATTCATAAAGATAAAAGAAATCGCAATTCCAGTTTTATTGTAAAAAAATTCGTTTAAAAATAGCTTATATTTTTCAAAAGATAATTATTCACTACTTACTTTTGATCTAAGACAATATTTTTAGTTATAAGCGAGACATGCTCTGATTATTTTCGAAAATGGGGAGCATTTCAAAAGACGACAAAAGAACAAAAGGTCTCCCCAAGGAGAACATCTCCTTAAAAGATGTCTCAAAGGCTCTTGTCATATGCCTTAAATCATTTCAATTTTCTTTTCTGCTTT